TTCCATTTCTCTTCTTTAATTCTTATTTGACATGATTCTCTATCCAGAAAACGAAGATGATTTCAATCTCCAATCTGATTCCAGCAGCTCAAGCATTGTCCCTCTCTTTATTAGCAATCAAACTCTCCAAGGTAGCCTTTTTTTGTTGGTTAAATACCCTTTTTGGTCTCATTACTATTAAAAAAAAAAGTCCTTTTTTATCCTTGTACTTAAAAAATTTCATTTTTAGTCCCTAAATATTGAAATCTGACCTCTTTTTTATTCCTTCCTTAATTTTTTTGACAAGTGACAGTTAATCAACTGAATTGTATGTTGTGAAAAATCTACTGTGTAAAAAAAAAAGAGATGTAGACATATTTTTGAGTCCACATCAGCATCTTCACCCTTCTGGCTAATAAAAAAGTTAGTAACCAACTTTTTTTTTCCTCTATGTTGAACAGCATAATCGTTATGTCATGATTGATAGATTTGAAGAGCTTGGAAAAGATAGGGGGGGAGTCCTTAAGGCAATTGACAAGCAACCAGTTTGTGCATGGATATATGTAACACGAGGATTAAAGGAATTTATGAGAGATGTGAGTTTTTTGAATTTCAATTTTTAATTTATGTATAAAATACAGTTAGGCTAAGTATATACTATCTATTAATCCTTTTTATTTGTCTAGGAAATCTAAGTTAGCTTAGAAGAGGATGAAGTGAAACTAATGAAAGATATTGCAGATGGAAAATCTCAAAAGCATGCAGTCTTAATTGGGGTATGGTGCTGTGGAGAACAAACCTTACTTTTTGATTTAGATTTCTTGGAACACAACATGGGGAAGCAATGGGTATGCCAAGATTGAGAGAAGCTTGCTTAACCACTTTTGTTATCCTAATGTTGAAACTATGAAAGTGAGAGTGGGTATCGATCACCATAAGAGTACAATCGATAAGGTGGAGGATATGAGAGTTGCGAGGGGAGATGATTTGATGCTTATATCCATGCACAAACTGGTTACTATGACAGTGTAAGCCAAGACGAGGAAAAAGCACGACATATCGATATATATGTTTCTGGAAGCTAGCTAAAGAAGGATGGCTGGCGAATACATGTACAGTTAAAATCAGGTTGTTTGCTGAGAATAGAAGCTAGGTAGCAAACGCACAAGGAAATCAATTAAGAATATCATAAAATTTCCAGAATAATATTTAAGATCAGGAAAAATAATCCAACTTGAGTTGGGAAGTATTTGTTCTTAATATTCGTTTCCTGTTGGGATTTATTTATTTATATATAACATCAACTAAATAAAAAAATAACCACCTCCTAAATGCCAATTTTTTTTAAAAAAATAGTTAATAAAAATAAAAATAATTAAAATTATTTTACTTACTATACTCTCTTTGATGTTGAACATCCACTTAATAACCACTGTTTTGACGCCAATCTTTATCTGAACATCAAAATTAATTATGTCATTAGAATATTAAAACTTAAAAAATTTAAAATATGTAACACACTTATTTAGCTAAGGTCTGGGATACATTTCAGAACACAATTTTGAACCAAAAGAAACAAATGATACTCAAAATACAGATGGTAAATGCAATATTACTGGGAAAGCATACAATATAAACTAAAATCCCCGTGTAAGGCGCAAGACTTAAAACTCAAAATCTTTAATTAGCTTGTGTGTGAGACCACATTCTTCTTTTGGCAGAAATAGCTGAAATCTCTGTACCAAAAAAAAAGAAATAGCTGAAATCTTTTCTATCAAACCAAAATCTACATTTTACGTACTAGGCAGCCATTCCTACAACATGCCTTTAGTTGCTTTCGTTTTAGAACACAAAACCACGAGAAGGCCCTTTGAAGGAGGAGAAAAATGTGCCATATATTAAAACTTACCGTTACAAATCCTCTTGAAAATCACTTTTGAGACCCTCTACTCCTGCTCCACTACTGAAGAAGAAAACCTCTGAATTTCAAGGAATGAACGGGTTTTCAAGAACTACAGTATTCGGGGTTCGTTTTCTATCTAGTGAGATGGTATATTATTAAAAAAATAGATATATTTAATATTATAAATTTTAAATAAATAAATAAATAAATTATTTAAATGATATATAAAATTATAAAAAAAATAGTATAAACAAATTATTTCTAAATCATTTTTCAAAAATCATCCAGGGGTGTGAGCCAGATCATTAGAGTTGTGCCACGCAGTTTAAGGGATGCATGATTTACATTTAGTTGATTTTTTTTATAATTTTAAATTATAAAAGATGTTAAATAGAAAGAAAAATTTAAGGTTTTGATGCAAAAAATAATCATGTCTGCAATAAGAAAATATAGATAGCAATGTAACGCCCAAATAAAAGTGGATTAGCTGACTAAGACAAAACCAAAAACAAAAACTGAGGAAATTACGTACCATGCCCAACAAAGAGACGCTTGTAAAAAATAGTTAGTACCAAACAGAATTTACAGTAAAAAGTTTGCTTGCAAATGGTTAGCAGTATTAGAAAGCAGATGTTATGTCAGGGCAATAGGTTTTAAGAATGGCTAATATGCCTTGCTCTCAAGCCCATAACATAAATCAATGTAAAACTCAAAATCAACAGCCACGTAGCTGGCTTGCTTGGCAGCCACAGGATGCAGATATTCCATGGAGCTTGGGATCTATCAAGATAAACAAACAAATACATAGAAAAGTATAATCAGCCCACAGGTACACTATCATCATTCTAAGAGAAATTCTTATCCTCCTTTTGTGGATATAAGAGATCATTTGAGGAAGGTGTTTTAACTCACAAATACATTTTTGAGACAGATCATGAATTTTAACCGATTTTATTAATTTAGAATCCATTCATTCATTCAATAAACAAAGAGTCACAAGGTAATCATTCAAGGATTATGGTCCTCGGCAACTAAAGACCTCCTCTAATAAAATACTTAAGATGAGACTAAATTACCTTTCTTCCTAAAGATTAAGACTTTAGGTGTAAATCCGAATGGAGTGTTTTTATATGCAAAGTCATGTTTTTATATGCAAAGTCACACAAAACCTTGGCGGCCATCCTTGGCATAAATGTAAGGTAATATATCTCATAGCGAACTGGTATTTTGCCGTAACAAAACTTCACAAACTTGACAAATTCTAGATCTGCATTCTGTATAAGTTAGAGAAAAAACAAAGTGAGAAAATAACATGATTCAATAATCAAATAATCAAACCCTGACAGTGATAGATCATAGAAGAAAATTAAACCCCTGACTTCTTTGCTATTGTTAAGGTTGTGATACTTGATTTCTAAAGCCGCACGGGTGACACTTAGACCTGGCAAAAATCCACCCGACCCGTGAACCCGACCTTAACCCGACCCTTAAAAAACGGGTTAGGGTTTACATATCTCAACCCGCAACCCGTAGATAACCCGTATTATCAACCCGTACGGGTCACGGGTCAGGTTAGGGTCAACCCGCAGGTTGACGGGTTGACCCGTTTGTTTTATTTTTTATTATTTTTTAAATATTATACTTATTATCCTTAATTAATTTTCTTATTGGTAACTCCTTCCATTAATTCATACTTTCTAATTTCTAGAGAAAGAAGAGGAAATTATGATAAGTTTGATCTAATTACCCAAGTATTATTTTTTTTTTTTGTATTAACAATTACTCAAGTATCATGAATAAAATGATAATATAACTAAAAATATTAAAAGATGTGATGTTATGACATAAACATAATAACTTAGTGAAAGATGTTCTTGGAAGAGCAATTTCATCATTAAAAAAATAGATTAAACTACTTAATAATGTTTCGAGATGATTCTAAAATTAAAATTTTATTTTTCAAGAAATTTAAATATTTTA